GTTCATTTTTGAAAAAGTTACGGCATATTTTAGTAAAAAAAATTGAAAAAATTTCGAAAATTAGCGATTTTTAAATTTGTAATTTTTTTGGAGGTTTCCCCCATTTACGGGGAACGAGGGAATTTTTTTCAATTTTTAAGGGTAATGTCTTCGACTAGATACGATTTGTGATCTTTTGACGTATCGTTGAAAGAAATCCGTTCGGTGAGAGCTGAGAAAAAGTGGTAACAGACACAAAAAAAAAAAAACACATCATAGTAAAACCAATACCTTCTCAGCTTCGCATCGAAGCTAAAAGGAATACATTTTTTTATTTTTAGATTTTTACAATATTTAAGAATAGCTAGCCTTTATGTTTTTAATACAAAATTTTTAATGGATCATTAAAATTTTAAGGCAAACACTTTTTGAGTTACAAGCATTTTTATACACACAGTGGATATGTGACGCGGTTGTAGTATACATTATAAATATATACCAGAACGAGCTACTTCCACCCGCACTACATACTCACTAAATGTATTGAAATACAAGTAGCTCAATAATTACTCATCCTTAATTGTTATGGATTCATTAAACATTTTCGAAAAATGTTCAACAAAATTATTAACAATAAGAAAATGTAATTTTTTTTTGTTATTAAGGCAAATAATTAAAATTATGATATTAATATGGTCTAAAAATGCAAAAATTATTTTTTTTTAAATTACATCTAAATGATAGTTTTATCAAAAGTTATAAGAATTTTTATTTAGATCTGTTCAACCTGTTTTACTAATTAAATGAATAATAGAATTTTACGAGTTACTAGAATATTAGAAGCACTTGGTATAATTATTATATGTCTAACAATTTTGAATAAAAATTGTATTGTATAAATGTACATTAATGATAGACTTTACAATGTTATTATAATTGTATGACTTAAAAGGTAACATAAAATAGTATTAATTAAAGTTGCTGATTAACATTTGATAACAGTAATTTTAATTTCAGAGTAAAATTATTATTATATACAGCGTGGAACGGATCTAACTGACAACTCATATAACTTATGATCTACATAACATTATATACTTTTATTTTTTAATCAATTTTTACAATGTAGAACTATATTTAAAATACGTTTTATGTTATTTTTCACAATTATAAAAAATATTTAAAAATTAATTTTTTTATTAAATTTTTTTTTTTAAGACATTTTATAGATAAGTTTTAAAGAAAAATTTCGTTACCAAATAATCTTATTTTAATTCAGTAGTTACGTTTATACAGCATTTTGAAATTTGTTAAATTTTGATTTTTTATGCAATTTTCCTATAGTATCAAATGTTAGCCATATTATGTAAAGTACAGAAGTAAACACTTATTACATTATTTACTGGTAACAGTACGCGATTTCTATTCCATGGATAATAATAATGTTTAACGCGCTTCATACAGAAATGATTATCTCTAATATTTATTACATAAGTTAGAAACATTATCGTATAACAACTACGAGTGTTCCATGGCTAGCCAAGTTAAAAGTGATATTAATTATTAATATGCGTGATTCTATCATTGTAATCATATTATTATGGGATACTCCTTAATAGGAGATTTGATAATAAATCCACTTATTCACTATTATTCACGTTTCAATTAATGATATATGAACTTATTTAATTAAAAATTCAACATGTTTTAGACAATGTTTCTATAATTTTTTTTAATTATGGCTTAAGTCTAATAGGTAACGACCTAGTACCAAGTTCGGACCTAGTTCCAGCCATTTTTTGGAAAAATTGTCGATATTCATTAACATATCCTATTTTTGTACTTTTTAACCTTTCACTAACCTCAGGTATTTTTCCAAAATCAAGGAAAACTAGTTTCGTTACACCTATATGGAAAAGTGGTGACCGTGCTGACGTTAAAAATTATCGTCTAATCTCCAAAATCAATGCATTAACTAAATTACTTGAAAAATTATTAGAACCTAAATTATCTCAAGTTGTAAATAATATGCTGGTGAACGAACAACATGGTTTCCGTAAAAATAAATCGATTGATACCAACCTGGTAGTATACTATCAATTTTTGGTAGATAATGTAGCTAAAGGTAATCAAGTAGATGCGGTGTAGACTGATATTAAAAAAGCTTTTGACTCCGTTGATCATAAATGTTTGTTACGAAAATTAAAACTTTTCGGTTTAAATGAAAAACTATTAGATTGGTTAACATCATATTTAAATGATAGGATACAATTAATTAAAATTAATAATAGTATTTCAGTACCTATTTTTGTTACTTCTGGAGTCCCACAAGGAGACCATATATCTCCTATTTTATTCTTAATTTTTATAAAATTTTGCTGATGATTTAAAAATATTTTTAGTAATAAAAAATCGAGAAGATCAAGAACACCTTCAACACGATCTCAATAGGTTTATAGAATGGAGCGCTAATAACGGTTTAGACGTAAATATTGAAAAATGTCAGCAAATTTCCCTTTGCCGTAATCGTAATCCATTGATTAATAAATATTTTATTAATTATGTAAAATTAAAAGTTTTAAAAAATATCAAAGATCTGGGAATTTCATTATCATTTGACCTGACTTTTAATGCGCACATAAATGCCATATGCGCAAAAGCCTATAGAAACTTAGGTTTTATTAAAAGAAATTGTGAACAATTTAAAATTGTACTTTGTTTGAAGACATTATATTATGCATAAGTCCGTTCTGGACTTGAATTTGGTTCAAAAGTTTGGAATCCTAGACAAATAGGATTATCATATAAAATTGAAAAGTTACAAAGACGTTTCATTCGTATAATAGCGCATAAATTTGGTCTACCCGGTCATCCCATTTCAGAATTAGAGCTAAAATTTAATATGATTTCATTAAAATCTAGACGAAATTACATCGACGCATGTTTTGTTTACAAACTGCTGAATGGTTTAACTTTCTGTCCTGAGTTATTACAAAAGATCCCATTAAATGTACCACAGTTTGCTACTCGTAATTTTCGAATTTTTTATACTGTATCACAAACAAAAAATTTTGTTCTAAGAAGCCCTATGTATCGAATGTTAAATTTTTGTAATGAATTAAAGAATGTTGATTTTTTTATAGATGATAAGGTGAAATTAAAACATAATGTCTTAAATTTACTATAATTAATTATAATTTTTTATGTTAATGTTTACTATACTCTTGCCCTTTTGCGGGCGTAAATTATATAGTAAATAAATAAATTATCTTAATTATACTACTACTTTTTTCATGTCAATTACAAATGCTTAATAATGCTTCAAATGTTAATAATTTCCATGGAATAGAAATCGCGTACTGTTACCAGTAAATAATGTAATAAGTGTTTACTTCTGTTCTTTACATAATATGGCTAACATTTGATACCATAGGAAAATTGTATAAAAAATCAAAATTTTACAAATTTCAAAATGTTGTATAAACGTAACTACTGAATTAAAATAAGATTTTTTGGTATCGAAATTTTTCTTTAAAACTTATCTATAAAATATCTTAAAAAAAATTTAATAAAAAAATTAATTTTTAAAATATTTTTGTAATTGCGAAATATAACTTAAAACATACTTAAAAAAAAAAAAAGTATAAAATGTTATGTAGATCATAAGTTATACGAGTTGTCAGTTAGATCCGTTCCACCTTGTATAATTGGACAATCGTCAACGCATGTGAATGTAGAATTTTCTGATTCTTATATAATTTTTAAAAACAAAATTTCTATTTAAAAAACAACTAATCTTTATATTTATGTTTAAATGCATAGAACCTTATGATTCACTATATCCCAATAAATAATTACTCAAATTAATTCATTATTACATTATATTATAAAAGGTTTTATTATTTAAAATAATAATCAAACAAAGCCGCCACTTTTGAAAAAACTTAATAGAACTTTATAGTTTTCATTTTTTTAGTCAAATAATTTAATATATTTATCAGATATTTAAATGAATTTTAAAAAATAATACATTTTTAGTTTCCCACAAATAATTTATTTCTATAATAATATGCAGTAAAAAATGCATTTATTTTTATTTAACATAGTATAGTTATGTGTGATAAAATAATTTCTTAGTGTAGTTTTGAAGAGGTCATTTGAAAATTAAAATGAATTAGCATTATTATCTTACATTTCAATGAAAAATGAGCAGTAAAAGTTTTAATTGGTAAATAATCAATATCTAAATAAGGTTGTCTCACTATAATGTAATACATTTTAAAAATGTTCAAATAATCTTTTAAACATTTTTTTTCTTCGTGAATTAGCTTAAAATTAGAAAAAAATTAGAAATAAGTCTTATTTCAACAGGATGACCAAAAAGTTAGATATTGAGCTTTTAGTATAATTATTCTTAGATTTTTTAAAAAGCGAAATAGTATCACTTTATGCTCTAGTTAACAGAAATGTTTTCTTTTTTAGATGGTGACTTATCATTAAAATTTGTAAGATACTTTGAAAGTTTCATGTTAGACGAAGAACTCTTTAAAGAATTTTTACAAATTAGTGATATAAATAAAAACGACACTGTCCTAAAAGAAGTAGCATTTGACATTTTTTTTAAGAACAAATTGCTTTGTATGTTACTTAAAAAAGACATTAATGAAATACTCACAAAGTATACAAATAAACAAAATCAATTTAATTACTTAGGTAATAATCATAACTTTTATTATAATTTATAAAAACCCAGCACAGGGGGGTCGAGGCACAGTTGTGACATGGTATAGTTGGATCAAGTATAATGATATCTGACAGTGATTAAAATCACTATCAAAAATAAACGCTTCGATGCAAATCTTTAGATAGTGTTTAATTTTAAAAAAATTGGTGTTTTATTCCAAAAGCTACTTGATCTGCTGGTTCCTTAATATCTCGATTAAGAAAAAGTATGTCGAATGAAAAAGGGTTTATTAAAAAATATTATTTCTCATAAAACAATTGTGTGGATCCATAAACTTTTCAATAAGTTATAGCATTATAAAGTTAAATATAATATAAATAATAAAATCGAGAATTTTCACACGAAAATAGCATTCGGTAGCCATTTTCGCCGTGAAGACAAGTCCAGAGGTCAAATTTTTTTTTTTCAAATTAAAGTATATTACATTAGCTTTAATTTAAGATATATATAAAAGTGTCAGACCTTCCGGAACATTTTCAAAAGTTAAGTTGAAAAAGTTAATTTTTTGTGAAAAAGTTGTCATTTTAAATCCCCCCCTGTGGGCAGGTTAAGTGTCAGATTTACAAAAAAAATATACCAAATGATAAGTAAAGACATCAAGCATCTATATAAAAAAGAATTATATTGATATGTTCATTTTTGAAAAAGTTAGAGCATTATTAAGTTAAAAATATAAAAAAAAATTACTCTACAAAAATCGTAATTTTTTATTGACTTTGATGTCAACTTTCACCACGAAGACAAGTCTAGAGGTCAAATATTTTTTTTTCAAATTAAAGGATATTACATAAGCTTCAATTTAAGATATATATAAAAGTGTCAGACCTTCCGGAACATTTTCAAAAGTTAAGTTGAAAAAATTCTACTTTCTATATGCATTTTTTATATTTGAAGCCTCCCCATATAGAGGGAAATAGTCTGATTTCAAAAAAAAGTATGTCCAATGAAAGATGTATATAAATACTACTTTTCATGAAAAAATTTTATTGATCCATACATTTTTTTAAAATTTATAGCACTTTAAAGTAAANTGATCCATACATTTTTTAAAAAGTTATAGCACTTTAAAGTAAAAAATGTCAATTATAAAATCAAAAATTTTTACACAAAAATAGCATTCGGTAGCCGTTTTCACCATAAAAACAAGTCCAGAGGTCAAATATTTTTTTTTCAAATTAAAGTACATTACATTAGCTTTAATTTAAGATATATATAAAAGTGTCAGACCTTCCGGAACATTTTCAAAAGTTAAGTTGAAAAAGTTAATTTTTTGTGAAAAAGTTGTCATTTTAAATCCCCCCGTGTGGGCAGAAAAAAGATCAAATTTACAAAAAAAATATACCAAATAATAGATAAAGACATTAAGCATCTATAAAAAAAAAATTATATTGATATGTTTATTTTTTAAAAAGTTACGGTAGTTTTTAGTAAAAAAAATTGANTTCATTTTTGAAAAAGTTACGGTAGTTTTTAGTAAAAAAAATTGAAAAAATTTCGAAAATTAGCGATTTTTAAATTTGTAATTTTTTTGGAGTTTTCCCCCATTTACGGGGAACGAGGGAAATTTTTTCAATTTTGAAGGGTAATGTCTTCGACTAGATAC